TCAGTTGCAGCCTTGGCTTTCCTGGTTTGCTCCCTGCAGGACCGGACCAGTGCAGAAAATATTCCTCCTTAGAGCTGAATCCCATCCGCCATCCTTTGTAGGCCTTTCTTTTTAGCCTCAGGAGCTCTGCTAGATCCCTGGAGAGCCAGGGAGGCTGCTGTGCCCTCTTGCTGCCTTTCCTCCAAGATGGAATAGAATTAGCTTGTGCATTGAGGATCGCTCCCTTGAGGAGCAACCACTCTTCCTGAACTCCCCTCCCCCTGGGGTCGTGGTCCCTTAGGGCCTCACTGACAAGCCTCCTGAGCTTGTCAAAGTCGGCTTTCCTGAAGTCAAGGACTTCCGTGTTGCTGACTGACTTGCCAGCTTTTCGGCGGATGGTGAAGGTGATCAGCTCATGGTTGCTGTCACCCAGCTTCCCATTGATCACTAGGTCGCCGACTACATCATCCCCAGTAGTCAGTACCAGGTCGAGCAGTGCTTTACCTCTCATTGGCCCATAGACTTCTTGAGTCAGGTAGAGGTCATCCACGCACGATAGGAATCTTTGCGACCACTCAGTTTTTGCTGAGTAATCCTCCCATGAGATGTCTGGGTAACTGAAGTCACCCATGACAACCATGGTCCTGGAGCATGCGGCCTCAGCCAGTTCCTGGGCAAACTCCTGGTCAAGCTCTTGACTTTGGGTGGGAGGTCTGTAGTAGACTCCCACCATTGTGTCCCCTGTGCTGTGTTCCCCACGGATTTTAACCCAGAGGATCTCCAGTCATCCACCCTGGTCAGCAACTTCAGCTTTTAGGGATGCGTAGTTTTCCTTAACATAGAGGGCTACACCCCCGCTCCTTTTATGTACTCAATCTCTCCTGTACAAGGTGTAGCCATTTATACCCATGGCCCAGTCATGGGTGGAGTCCCACCAGGTCTCCGTTATCCCTATGACATCGTAATTATTTGTGTTAAGCAGGAGGATGAGTTCCTGCTTACTCCCCAAGCTCCTGGCATTTGTGTACAGGCAGGCAAGTGTCCCCTTGGGGGCTCTTGCCTTGCCCACAGATTGTACCAGGTCTGGAGCAGGGGTGGGCTCCCTTAAGTGCCTTGGCCTGCTGGCTTTGCAAGGGTTGCTCAGTGGGCCAGCAGTGGCGGTAGTCCTCCCATTCCCCAGTGGATCAGGTCAGCCATTTTAAAGCCCAGTGGAGCAGGTCAGCCAGTGTGGCTGAGAAGAGCCTCCTCCCCAGGGGAGAGAGGTAGAGGCCATCTCTTCCCAGCAGCTCACAGGATTAAACCAACACTTTTGTTGGCTGCAAAGGACCAACTCTCAGGATAATAATAAATTCTAATTTATTGTAAGGGATGTGAAGTTACCAATAAAATCATAAATGCAAACTTTGAGTTATGAGGGGTACTGGCCACCTTAACACACACATACACACACTTACACACACAATTTCTGCAATAATAGTGTAGCACCAATGTTGGTTTATACCTATTTGGGGAGCTGGAGTTTGTTGTTGATGATCAGCTTCCTCAAGGTGATGTCTTCTCCAGAAGTGGGTTGCCTGCTTGTCCTTCTGTTTCAGTAGGTCGGGTGCTGGATGAGAGGGCACCAGTGAGGGTCATGCTTCACTGCCTTTTATCCCTTTCTGGCATACTTCTGTGATCCCCCAGCATCGTCTTGGCTGCCCAGTCTGGAGGTCACTGTCCCATGTGGGTCTTGAGCAGTGCGTTGCAGCTGTTAGTCACAATCCCTGGGGTTCTGCCCAATGGTGCAGTTTTGGGAGCCCAACCTTGACTTGATTGACTCAATGGCTGTGTCCTTGCAGGTTCCAGGTGGCTTGATTAGCTTAAAATGACTTGTAGAGTTCTGTAGTTGTAAGTTCCTTTAGCTAGGCTATTGTCAATTAACAGCCAGAGGCTCTTGCTTTGTCATTCAATTACCTACTGACTCATACATTCACTCAGGGGACCAGCCCAATACAGCAATACAATTCCAATGCATTCTTATAATAATAATTTTATTAATACAAAGTATGACTTACTCTAGAGAATACATTTGTTAAAAATTAAAAGGTATAAAACATAGAATACAGAATGCCAGGGCAAAAATGAGACAGATGAAATATAAAAATGCACTGTGAGAAATATAAAAATGCAATGTGAGGTAGTGAGGATCAAAGGCCACTGGGGACAGTAAGCAAGTTAGGTTAGATGCAATCACATAGACTGATTTATCATAAAACTTTAGACAGATATAGGAAGTTTGCTTTGGGAAATAGGTCTTAATCAAAGGGGGAATGTGTTCACCAGGATATATTTACAGTCATGCTTTCAATGCACCTTGGCTTTTCTTGTCTCTTACAGGCTTTGCTTTGAAGTGGGTATTTTAGTTTTTTTATTTTCTTTAGTAACACTTAGCTCAATTGATATGTAGGTGTAGGTTATTCCTACAGAAGGCCACTTCAGTTTTCTGGCTTGCTTCAAGCCTTGCCACAGCTTGTGCTAGGTCTCTGCCAATACTTAGAAGGAAAAAGAAATGCACAAAACGGGGGGTGGGGTGCAGGCAAGAAGGGGCTTCAGTTGTATCAATGCCCAGAAGGGGATTGTACAAAGGGGGCTCCCTGTTACACTTTGCCTCAGTCAATCAAATGTGTAAGACTCCAAAATGATTCGGGAGAGGAAATTCAGGAAACAAAGTCTCTAAGTAAGGTTGCTCAGTGGCTGTTTCAAACTGAAATGGCTCATTCTGAGTACCCAGCGTGTGAAATCCTTTCTTGACCCATCAGTGGTTTTTCTCTGTCCCTTTCATTGTGTCTCATTGAGGGCTCCATGCCTTATTTTCTCATCCACTATATTATAATTTATGCATGAGTTCTGTCTTCTCTCAGCCTTTCCCTTGATGGAGTGACAACAGCATTTTGGTGAGCCCTGGATATATATTTATCCTGTCATTCTGCACCTGTGCCTCTTCTTAAAGAACTATTCCCTGAGCATCAGAAGAATCCTCAATGAAGGAATTCATTTCATTTTGTCAAGGTTTCCTGTCTGGTTCTTAATTTAGATCTGCAGTTTCAGCCCACAATAAACTCAGTATTTTTGGATACAGTGATGAAAGAATTATGAGCAGTCCATAGCCATGTGTGTTCAGGATGCTTCATTGCCCCCCCTTGGGATAGGTGAAAAAACTTGTTCTTTCTGGAGAGTCCAGTGTCTGAAATCTTGTTAAAGAATGTGGTACAGACAACATATTTTAATTTCTTCCTAATAGTATTAGCATTTATTCAGCTGGTCCCCATACATATAAACCTTCCTCATGGTTTACCATGGTATTGTGCCATTGGGAGTGAGTGGAATATTGTATCATAATTTTTTAAAACTGAACTCTGAAAAGTTTTCTCCATGTCTCTCTCTCTCTCTTTGGAGGTCAGAGAAGCATCATAAATGCATATAGTTGAAGACTACTCATAATTTTTTTGTAGTAACAAGGCAAAGTCGCCTTGATTTTATGGCTAACCTGAAATCCTGTCACAATTGCATGGAGACATTTGAATGGGGGTTTAGAGATAAATGCAAAAGGGTCTGCACAACACAGTGGAGAAATTAAAGGCCTCCTCCTCCTCTTTTGCCAATAACTGCCTTTCTTGTGTAATCAAAACAGAATATCGCTTAGGTTGAAATATTTTTGTGCCATATATGGTCTTTTTTATAGTATGTGTGCACAATACCAAGAACAATGGGCCCTGATCCCTGGCCAGGCATAATACAATGGGCCCTGATCCCATGGCACTACCATAATACTAGTAAGAAATAATGTTTTTGTAAAGGACAGGGGTAGACAAAACAGTACTTACCTCATAAGTTTACCTTTTGCATTTCTTTGCCCATCCTTTTGCTTTTCTCTTTCCC